GCACGCACACACACTCACGCTCACACACACACACACTCACTCACTCACTCACACACACTCACTCACTCACTCACTCACACACTCACTCTCTCTTTCACACACACACACACACACACTCACACTCACGCTCGCACACACACACACACACACACATTCACTCACTCACCTCTCACACACTCACTCTCTCTTTCACACACACACACACACACACTCTCTCACACACACACACACACACACACACACACACACACACACAGTGTGCAGTATGTAAACTGTCTGTAGAAAATCCTCAAGAGCAAGTTAGTTAAATTGTGTTAAACTATTACTATGTTCATATCTAGCTACCTGAATAATAACACATCTGGTTTAATGATAGCAACATTTGAAGGAAACTCAAAGTGTGTTACTGCTAGCAATACAAGAACATGTTAAGTATGTACTGCTTGAAATACAGTGACCAAGTATCTGCATATACGTTTAAGACTTTTTAAGACCAAGTAAAGAACATTTAAGGAATAAACTGAAGGGAACACAATACGCCAATATGGTCTCATAATGATTTATATTAGCAACACTTCAAAGTTTGAAAATGCAAATTCAAACAGATCTCCATTACCTTTTAAGACTTGAATAACTTGAATTACTAAATAACTCTACTGTACCTTCTGATCAGAAAGTGATGTTCGTCCTTAAATCTTAAATGAATAATTCTTAAATCAAGATACATTTATTTGAGATGCAAAATGACATCAGATAAGAAGTCTTGTTTAATGAGAAACTGATCAAACTCAAGCGAGTTTATGATTAAAACAAGAACAAATATCTGACTAAAATGACAAATTAACTTAAATGAAAAGGGAAAAAGTTTTCACTCCTCATTAATAGGGACTTGTTCTTGTTTTGAGCATACAGTAAACTCAAGTTTTGTTGAATTTCTCAGAAAACAAGACTTAATTTCTTCATTTTGCATCTCTAGTAAATGCATCTTGATTTAAGGATGTTTATTTGAAATGCATGCAACGTTTAAAGCCATGGCTCTGATCTTTTAAGGCTTTAACTTATGAAAGTGTGAATTAAGACTCGGGTTCATAAGTGTTTATCACTGCACACAGATCGTTGTTTTCCAGTAGGTAGTGTATACTGTAATGTACAGTATGCAGTAAGCCGGTATTTCATGGCTAATGTGTTTCAGGTGATCAGGAAGGGCTGGCTGACCATCAATAACATTGGCATCATGAAGGGCGGCGCTAAGGAGTACTGGTTTGTCCTGACGGCCGAATCACTGTCCTGGTACAAGGATGACGAGGTGAGACGTGTTTTCTGAGTCAGGTTTTGGTCGAGTGCTGCTGTGTCTGGTCGGTTAGGATGCTCAAACACAAAGGTTTTGAAACATCTGGAGCAATCAGCGGCCTACAAATGTGTGACTCTACACTTTAAGACAGGATATGAGTAACATGCAAAAAATTACACACTTCAACAGCCTCAACGCTTTTATGAACTCACGACCGCATCACACACTTCAAAGTTAAAGCAACATCGTCTTGATTTACATTGGATCGCTGCCTCGAAACGTCCCGCGTGCTTCGCTCAAACAGCGGCGCCATCACGGCTGCCGCTCACCAATCATGATTCCTTTCAGCTTTCACGCCACACTTTTATGTGGAATTATTTATATCAATTTTCCGCTATAGAAAAGAAATGATCTCAAATGGGTTATTTTTGAGCCGCCTCTGCTGGCTTGACGCTCTTTTTCCCCTGGCGTGTTTTTGGCTGGAATATTTTCCAGCACTGGAAGGTTTTCCTGCTAAATGAAGCTTGCAGGACCTGCCTACGGCTCTCCACACATGCTCAGTCTTTCAGAAAGGAAAAGCAAAGGTTACAGGATGATGCTGTCCGTTACACTTTAGGCTCAATTGTCAATCATGTTTGGATCGTCAGGCGTGGTGGGGTGAAGGACTAGAGAACTGTGGGCAACATGTCAAACTCACATTCACGCATACTATATATATATATATGTGTGTGTGTGTGTGTGTGTGTGTGTGTGTGTGTGTGTGCGTGCTATTAAAGTTAAACCAAACTAAAACTTGCAACAGTAAAAACATTTTCATTACTTAATTTAAACTGAAATTAAATCAAATAAAAAACTTATTTCAGTTCATTTTCAGCGAACATTTCTCGTTTTCATTTAGTATAACTTGATGTACTAAAATAACTTTAACTAAAACTTTAACTAAAATTAAAATGAAAACAGAAAATATAAAATTTGAATAAATTTTTATGTCAAATATAAAAATATAACTATTTCAAAATATTAATAAAATCTGTAAAAGTATCTTATACTTAAGTAACACACACACATATATATATATATACCGTAGCACTGAAAACAATGCCTTTGAAACACTTTTCACTCAGAAACGGCTAGTAAATTTCACAAATAATTACAAAGAAACATTGAATCGAACATGACATTTTGAAGTAGAAAGACTGAAATAGTATTTTCGTCTAAAACATGCTCCAATTATATTTATTTACAACTTTGAAAATATTTTTTGGGCTGTAAGATTTTTTTTTAAATGTTTTTGAAAGAAGTCTTTTCTGCTCACCAGAGCTATATTTATTTGATCAAAAATACAGTTAAGCAGTAATATTGTGAAATATTTTTACTATTTAAAATCTTTTTTCTATGGGAATATGTGTTCAGCTGTAATGTATTTCTGTGATGCGCAGCTGTATTTTCAGCATCATTACTCCAGTCTTCAGTGTCACATGATCTTCAGAAATCACTATAATATGCAAGAAACATTTCTGATTATTATCAATGTTGAAAACAGTCGTGCTGCACAATATTTTTGTGGAAACCGTGATGCATTTTATTTTTCAGGATTCACAGATGAACAGAAAGTTCAAAAGAACAGCATTTATTTGAAACAGAAATCTTTTGTAACGTTATAAATGCCTTTACTGACACTTTTCATCAATTTAATGCAACCTTGATGAATAAAAGTGAATAAACATGTTTATTTATAGTGCATTTTGATTCCATGTTGACTTTAAAGTGCTGTCTAGGTAGGCGTCTCGTGTAAAGCTGACACACACATGTGCATACCAGAGCCTGACCTGTCACACACACACACACACACACACACACTCGCCAAGAGAGGGCTGCTCCTCATAAAACCATTGACTTTCAAAGAAATGTGTGTGTGTGGTTTGCTGGTTTGGGTCACTCTAACTAGGAGCATGTGGGGCAGAGACAGCGAGGGGGGCACTGCGGTCCACTTTCATCTGTCTGTGAACACAAAGTCTCCTTCACACACACACACTCTCTCTCTCTCTCTCTCTCTCTCTCTCTCTCATGTATTTATTTTATCGTGGGCTGACGATGTTGGTTTCCCAGCACTCAGAGCCCCAAAACTAACACAGTCCGACTCAGAAGTAAAACAGTCACTAATGAGCTCAAAAAGCAGCAGAAACACTTCCACGAGTGTGTTTGAACGGGTCCTCGAACACACACACGGCACGCATGTTTTCTTCTCCTCCGGTGGCTGAGGTCGAGACCCTCATCACTCTCTGGCCAAATGGTCAACGAGCGATTCAGTGACATCACTTCCTCTCGACATCTCAGTGCAGATGTATTTCTGCTCAACCTGATTTTTCACAAAGCGAGTTCCCTCGTCTTGTTTTCGGGGGTTTGGGGGAAACGGGCAGTGCTGGTGATACTGGATCTGCTTCCTATCATCACACATGCAGATCGAGCGCCAGTGACTCACAGAAGACATGAAAGAAAAAAAACCTGGACGCATTTGAACCAGCAACCCTCCCGATGGCCTCAAAGGCCTGTCAATCAAGAATACACACACACTCACACACACACACACACACACACACACACACACACACACACACACACACAGACACACACACACACACACACACACAAAC